CTCCAGAATACAGAGCAGCCTGTTGGGATGTGGACTTGTATAAAGAGTAAGCTTGGCCCGTTTGTGAGGAAAAAGACTAGTTTAACATGGTGATTGAGTATTGGGCAGAGAGAACTTGGGAGCATTTCAGAGATGAAATCCTAACAGGTTAAAAATCAACTGTGTCTGACTTTGACTCTGAAAACTAGAGGCAAAATGGCTAAAGAGACCCTAAGAACAGCTGCTAAGGAAATTCAAGCCTGAGAATTAAAGGCTTGTGACTTCCCATCTCCTGGCAACTTCTAGACCCCTAAGTCGGGCCCTAGAACAAACACATTGGTTCAGCAAGAAAACGACAATCGGGGATCCCTTTCAGAGACCCTCTCAAGTAGGATTCTGAAGGATCATTGATAAGGATGATTTTCCCAGAGAGTGAAAAGATTAGAACTAGAGGCCACAGTTTGGTAACTAAGAGACTCACTCTTCTTCAAGGACCGGGAAGCTTGCTTTTCCTGTGAAACAACAATTCCATATTTATAGATTGATATTTCTTCAACTTCTCATTTCCAGGTGGGAGGTTTTGTTGTCAGTGTTCTATTTTTTCAATTTTCTTTCTTGACTAAGGGCAAGTAGGGTGGGCGGAATTAAATATATATGAATAAGCCATAGGGTGCTCAACCTTATAGGGAGCTACTTCCAACTTAATTGAGAAACAGATAACCAACAGAAATCTTGGAGCTGGACGCAGTGAAAAACAAGTTTGAGCAGGGATGAGTCCCCTGTTAGTCACATTTAGAAAACTCGCCCCCTGCTAGGCAGGACCATTCTTGAAAGTACAGATGTGGGAAAGGGCAGCTCTGGGTATTGAGCAACCAGGCTGGCTTGTGGAATGGTGTGATGTGATGCCCAGATGTAATTGAGTGAATTCAATGATACATGCTTTGCAAGTAAATCATAGTGTGGATAATCTCCTCCCAATGTTCCCCTTAATCACTGCAAATAATCTTGATCGAAGACTCGAGGTTGCTCTTTCATAGCCTCTCACTTGCCCCAGGCACCCCTGAATCACTCAGCAGCCACGTTGTTTTATGAGCCCCCCCCCACCCCCCATCTAATGGATATGGTAACTTGTCCATAGTGGTAACCTGAGTTGAATATGATTGCTCAGAGAGAGATCCAGGGAGTTCTCTCCTTCTGAGATCGGGGTGACCAAGGTTATGCTAATCTGTCAGGGGCTTTTTTTTTTTTTTGTCACCATGTAGAGATTCTAACTACAAATAAGAGAGTATCAAAAGAAAGCACTGCAGGGGAGAGAACAGTGTCCAGTGACACTGTTAAGTGCAAGCTGAAGTCAGTTTTCATACAGGGTTTCTTGGCCTTGGCATCTGACCACCTGGGCTGCGTAGGTCTTTGCTGGAGAGACTTTCCCTGGCTGGAGGATGCTTCACGGCATCCCTGATCTCTACCCACAAGATAAACCACTGCTCTTATCCTTAACTTTTGGTTTCGTGCTCCTTAATTCCTCTTTTTAGCTAAATTATTTTGCATTGGGCCACTGGCAATCCAAAATTTATTTTAAAAACACTGTAATTCTTTTGTCAATACAATTTTATTGATTAAACATAAACAGCTCTGCAATATTATAGGGCATTTGCCTTGCGTGCAGCCAGCCCGGCCGAGCTGGGTTCGATTCTTCGATTCTTCTGCCCCTCTCGGAGAGCCCGGCAAGCTACTGAGAGTATCTCGTCCGCACGGCAAAGCCTGGCAAGCTCCCCATGACGTATTCAATATGCCAAACACAGTAACAATGAGTCTCAAAATGAAGATGTTACTGGACCCGCTCGAGCAAATCGATGAACAACGGGAGGACAGTGGTTTTTTTTTTTTATATCTTTTCATCCAAAATGTATTTCTTATGCCTTTTTTTTTCCTTTTTGGGTCATTCCCAGCGATGCTCACAGGTTACTCTTGGCTCTACACTCAGGAATTACTGCTGGCAGTGTTCGGGGGACCAGGCGGGATGCTGGGAATCGAACCTGGGTCGGCTGTGTGCAAGGCAAACGCCCTACCCGCTGTGCTATCACTCCAGCCCTCGTTTTGTTTTTTTTTTTTTTTATCCACAATTCCAAGGCAGCCAAAACCTCTTTGTTTCCAAAGTGTGGAGAATGATAAATACTTCTCTCTTATGTTAAGGAGCTCATCTTTGGGGACTCAGTTATGGAAGGGAGCTACTTGTCAGGGAGCCAACCCTGTGATTAGACCAGAGGATTGGAACTCCGAGCCCTACCCCCAAACCTCCAGGAAGTGCAGGCTGGGGGATGCATCTGCTGCTTCCAGCCAGTGAGTTCAGTTGTGCTTCTATAATGAAACCTCTGCAAAGGTCCGGAAAGAGGGCTTCAGAGAGCCTTCTTGTAGAGCAGTGAGCATGCCTTCCCCTGACGCCCAGCCTCTGTCTCTTTTCTGTTTGCTGGTTACTGAGTTCCAGCATTTTCTACAAAGTTGGTGAACTATTGATCAGGTCTCCTGAGTTCTGTGAAGCTGTGCAGAGGGTGTTTTTACTCCACATTTAGTGCTCAGGTGACCAAATGGTGCTGGAGATGGAGCTTGTCGGCTTCAGCCTGTGAAGCCTGTACTCCAGCCTCTTGCCCTCCCCCTTGCCTCTGTCATGCTCCTTTTCTGCTCTGTAAGCCTGCAGCAGTTGAAAGTCGCACCTTATTTGTTTTCCTTCTTCCAGGGATAATTGACCGAGCTGCCTGGTGTCCAGTGTCTGAAAACCAATGTTTTTATATACTTTGGCCATTTCTAAAATTTATGTAAGATAGAAAAGTAAAACTAGTCCCTGTTATTTCATCAGACCTGAAAACAGAAGTCACCGTAATGTACTTTTAATTCTCCATCCACATAATTTTGAGGAGTCTGTTCTCTCTGAATTTTTAAATACTAAGCATTTTAAAAAGTTCATTTGCCTGTTACAGTTTTTAAGAATAGCTTCTAGTTTTCTTGTCACATTCGCAAAGTTTGTAGTATTTCTCTTTTAGATATATGTCAGTTCTGTGTTTGTTACAGGGTTATTTTTGCAATCTTTATGTGTACACTTTTGGGTGGGAGCCACGCCTAGTGGTGCTCAGGGCTTACTCCCGGTTCAGTGCTCAGGGATCATTCCTGACAGTGCATGAGGAATGTGCTGCCAGGAATGGAACCTGAACTGACTGTGCTCGAGGCAAGCACCTTATGTGATGTGCTGTTACTCTGGCCCACTGTGTGAAAACTTTTTAAATGTGTACATCTTAGTATCATTGTGTCACTGTCATCTCGTTGTTTATCGACTTACTCGAGCAGGCGCCAGTAACGTCTCCATTCGCCCCAGCCCTGAGATTTTAGCAGCTTCTTCTTACTAATCGTTCCCAATGCTGCCGTATTGGAGGCTCTTTCAGGGTCAGGGGAATGAGACCCGTTATTGTTACTGTTTTTGGCACATTGAATACACCATGGGTAGCTTGCCAGGCTCTTCCATGGGGATGGGATACTCTCAGTAGCTTGCTGGACTCTTCAAGATATCTATATCTATATCTATATCTATATCTATATCTATATATTATTTCTCTCTATGATTTGTTGCTACGGTCTGAACCCCATCAAATATGGTGTGGTAATTATGGAAAATGGATAGGGAGTGTCTTATGATGTGTCGTGTGGCCACTTGTGAGGCTTGGCCTGAGCATGTGGAAAGTGGCTTGGAGCGTGGCAACGGTTGGGTAGTGGAGGTCGGCTGCTGGGGCTGGGTACCTTGGGGTGGGGAGGGCTCTCACCTGTCCCACTGCACTGTGGGGCGCCCCGAGTGAAAACAGCCTGACGTGGAGTCCGCTGGCAGGGTTATGGGTGCCTCCTTTTATGCTCCCTTCCTGGAGAAGCAGCCATGAGTTCAGTACATCTTAGTAGGAATCAAATATTAAAGTACACACAATCTAATAACTTCTTAGCAAGCTGCGCATTTTGGATGATTTGTCACCAAAGGATTCCATGCATTTTGATTGGAAAATGTGGGGGACAGAAAACATAGATGTCTTTGGAGCTAAGGAGCTGAAACAGAACCCCAAAGTTCGTGTCCAAGTAGCTTTTTTCCCCGAGGCACACATATTTCAAGCTGAGGTCAGAGCCTACTAATCATAAAGACTCCTACAAATGTCATTCAGACTTGTTACTGACCTTCTCACTCAGCTCTTTCCCCAGCTCCTTATCCCCTGAACTTGCAGAGAGATTTCTGCTCTATAAATACATTATAATAGTGAAAAAGGTTAATGCTTTTAATATCCAACCTCTGCTCTTTTAAATTTTCACTAAGGAAGTATGGTGCATCTTGACCAATAATACTTATGAGGGGTGGGATTAAGGGCCTTTCTAAGCAATAAAATTACTTTTTGTTTGTACATAGATGATATAAGCATCTCTAATATTTTTGGTATCACATTTTCTGTGTTTTTATAATTTTTGGTTATAAGTTTCAAGATATGCTGTATTTTGAAATCCATTAAAATTTTACAGAAATTTATTTAACATTAAATGATTAATACTGTCAGTTTAAGATCTGTACTTTAAAAAATCTCAATACTAAATATTTGAGTATGTACTCACCACACTTACAATTGGGAATAGCATCTTTCCTGGGGAACAGACATATTAGCAGTTGAACAATTATTATCACTATTAACACGCCTTTGTTTGAAACCTTTATTTACATTTTTAATCAGGCTGAGAAAACCTCATGCATAAATAAGCATAGAACGTGAAGAGGAGAGAATGCAGTGGGGGAAAAGTATTTTATCTTGGACTTTTTCTTTTGTTAAGCCAAGAATTAAATTAGTCCCAGCTTAATTGGTCTGCACACATTCTTGTGACGTGGGCAGGGAGGAGAAAGAGTGGGTGCTGTGACTGTGTAGTATGTATCTAAGCGTGTGCTGGAGAGGGAGAAAACTCATAAGCAAGCTGGTTTGACCAGAAACAGAACTGCCTGTGACAGATTAAAAGACAAGCAAGGCTTGGAATCCGAGCGCAGGCAGAGAGAGTGGAAATTTACAGCTGCCCTGTGTGAGCGTTCAAGTGGTCATTTTCTGCTAACGTTTTCCCGTGGTAACTGTTACTCTTCAAAGAGAGACAGAAAGTCAAGTCCGGATTGTGGAAACTTTTTCTCATGTGTTAGTGATAGGAGGTCCCGTCTATTAAATGGGAGATTCAGGCTGCTTCATCTAAAGAGCATTGAGCTAAGGAGAGAGCTGTCTTCAGCACCTCACCATGTATCGACTTTTTGTGGCTTAGACAAGCCTGGACTGTGTAACAGTTGGTGAGTATCAATCAGGTTACCTGTACTGATTCATAGAACTAGAATAAAATGGTTGACTATAGTTTTAGTTGGGATTTTACAGTTAATGTTTATGTATCCATTTTAAACCGCTAGTACCTTGTTTCTTTTTGCATGATGAACTGCTGTTACTAGGATTTTTTTTTATAAAAAACAAAACAAAACTACAAAACAATACTTCTCTGTTGCCTGAGGCACTTGAACCATTACCAACTATTTTCTGTCCACCAAATAATCTTATTTTGGAAATGGTTTTTTTATTTACAGAGAGTTTCTGAAAGTGTAATGATAGCAGTGCACTATTTTTCATGTTTTTCTTTCAACTGAAAATTCAAATGTTATCTCTGTCTATTGTCAGTATATTAAAAATGATGTTTTGCATTATCAAGTGCTGTGAATTACCGCAATTCCCCAACAATTTAAATATTAAGGGTACCATTAAATTAAAGGATTTGCAATGCATCTTCTGTAAGATACAGTATACACACTTTATAATTTTTTCAGTAATGGGAATGTAAAAAATTAGATAATTGAAAGCAAATTAAAATGAATTCATGTGAATTTCAGGTTAATTAAGTAGTGATTTTGTCCTAATAGCTGACAAAACTCTCACAATTTTTTTTATTGAAGAATTTTATGGCCAGATGCTTATATTTATGTAGCTGATAGGACAGAAAAGCTCCTTTAATATGTATTCATATTCTAATAAAGCCTTCATTTGTAAGATCTTAACAGAGAATGAATGCTAATTTTGTATCTGTTAAAGCTATTCATAGAAGATCTATGATCCTTCTGTGGGAAGAAGGAAGTATATAATGTTAGCTGCTATACTGACTCACTGCATAAAGATTCACCATATTCTAAGCAAAGTTTTTAATCTATTCCCTGACAGCTTCAAAAACTATGTCCCAAGTTATTGATTTGATTCAAGTGAGTCCTTCAAGGCAGAATAACTTAGCCGAAAAGAAAACTTTAGCAGAGTATCAGTAAACTTATTAAAAGGTTTGAATAGTAGTCATAATATAAAATGGCTGTACTTTCTCTAATATTTCCTCTGTGTTTCCAGAAGCTGTAGAACAGGTTTTGTTTTGTGAGTTTTGTAAGTTTTTTTTTGCCTAGTGACCTATGTATAAGAAAGAAGAAATTCAGCTGGATGATAGAAAGCCTTACTGCACATAGTATCTTGAGCTTAAAGTGAAAAGTAAATACAGTAAAGATAATCTAACAAACTAACTTTTACTGCTTTACATATTTCCCACACTTAGTCCTTAGATAGATATAAGATTTGTATACCATGTCACAATCTTCAGAATAATATTTTTATATTTTAAACTAGTTAATCACTGGCATTGCCGAAAGGGTGGCATTATTTCTTAAGCCCACTGAATATAGTTATAAAAATAAGGAATAAGTCATCTCCAACTTACAAATGTTTTGTATTACAGAAGTTTATTTGTGAGTGGATAGTTGGGAATTTGGGACCTAACTTATTAGGAAAACAACTTATCTATGGATTGTTTGCATTTTTCCATAGCTCATGAGTATATTTTATTCACACTTTAAAAACTCTTGCTCCCTTGAAAAATATTTTTATAAAACTAAATATTAAAGCAATTGTATTGTCAAATACACCATTTTTATCCTAAATTATTAATGCTTGAAGAAAAGCAAATATGCTAAGAGGTGGAAGGGTATTTGGAAAGATGGATATAAATAGAATTTCTAGATACCTTTAGGATCTTCCAAGGTTGAAAGTACGGTTTATGAAATCTAATCTGCATTTTCATCAGTTCTTTTTCTCTTCCTTGCTTGCTGCAGGAATATTTTCTAGCTCTTGCTAAAAAAAAAATATTATCAAGCCATTCTGAGTTTAGTTCTGTCTGGCACACTAGTATATACCTAGCAAAGAGTTACCAGATCAGGACTAAACTCTTTCTTTGGTCACTAACATGAAGTAAGAAGCATTTCCATGAGTCCCCAACCTTCTGTCCAAAAAAGGAAAGGTGCTTGGGGATACATTGTTTTAATTTAAGAGATGGCTTGACACAATTGAGGCAGCGAGGACTCTACTTTCAGAGATCATTTCTATAGTTCCTTACTAGAGAAGTTTCTCTAGTCAGGTGGAGCACCTGAAGCTCTGAGAAGCCAGAGCATCTTCTCCTGAGCATGAAGCTGGCTCTAGGTGTTGCAGCTGCCTTTTGCCATTGACCTTTCTTCTTGTCCCTTGGGAGAAGGAGAGGGGGAGGATGCAGTCAGAGTGGTTTTGTGATGAAAAAAAAATTTTGAGGCAGCAATCCTGAATGTACAAGGAAAGTGATGGGCGGGCATTTTCCAAGCTAGGAATCTTGAGTTCATGGGACATTCTACTGTAAGGTGTCAATTTTTTCTCAAAAGAAATCTTTGTTTACTTATGTGTCCCAGAATCCATAGGAAGAAATGAAGTCTGTTTAGAAATTTCAGATTAAGAGCTACCCAAATTAAGTTTAGTTTATACTGGCTTCCAAGGTGTGTGTGTGTGTGTGTGTGTGTGTGTGTGTGTGTGTGTGTGTGTGTGTGAAAGAGAGAGAGAGGGAGAGAGAGAGAGAGAGAGAGAGAGAATTAAAACTAGTATAGTATACATAGGTATTTGATAAATAGTTGTTTAATTTTTGGAATAGGATGAAGTAATTTGGACAAAATTCTATTTATGAGATATGGTTACTGTACATATGTTATAATGCAGCTAAGGATAATATTTCGCTGATATTCTCTTAGCAGGAAAACACTATTTTAGCTACGTTCACTGTATCACTGTCATCCCGTTGTCATAGATTTACTCGAGTGGGCGCCAGTAACGTCTCTATTCATCCCAGCCCAGAGATTTTAGCAACCTCTCCTAACTCATCTTTCCCAATGATTGGAGGCTCTCTCAGGGTTGGGGAATGAGACCTGTTATAGTTATTGTTTTTGGCATATTGAATATGCCACGGGGAGCTTGCCAGTCTCTGCCCGTGCAGGCTGGATACTCTCAGTAGCTTGCCAGGCTCTGTGAGCGGCATATATATATGTATTTCTCTCTAGGATCTGTTGCCTACTGTCTGAACCCCATCAAACATGATGTGGTAATTATGGAAAATGGGTAGGAAGTGTCTTATGATGTGTTATGTGCTATCCGGAAAATGGCCTGGAATGTGGCGGCCATTGGGTAGTGGAGGTCAGCTGCAGGACTGGGTCCCCTGGAGCGGGGAAGACTCTCACCTGTCCCCCTCTGGGGTGCCCCAAGTGGAAACAGCCTGACGCGGAGTCTGGTGGCATGGCTATGAGAGCCCCATTTTATGCTCCCTTCTGGGAGAAGCAGCCATGAGTTCTGGAAGTTGGCTGATGAGGAAATTATCTGGGAGTGACTTATGGGTGTGACCCCATGGATCACCAGAGACTGGGAAAAGCAAGCAGAGGATCTCTGCTTCTGGGTCCTGTTGAGCCCAGAGTCCAAGGTCACAAGATTCCGCATTACCTGGGTTCCGTGGGATTTCATTCATGTGTGAGGCTCCATCTGAACGTCTGTAAAGCGGCCTGGAGCGTGGCAGCGGTTGGATAGTGGAGGTGGGCTGCAGGAGCTGGGTCCCTTGGAGCGGGGAGGGCTCTCACCTGCCTCACTCTGGGGCATCCCAAGTGAAAACAGCCTGGCACAGAGTCCCAGGTTGTGTTATGTTAGCATGTATTTAAATTATATTTGTTTTGTTTTGATGCTACACTCCCCTGTACTCAGGACTTACTCCTGGCTCTGTGTTCAGGGATCACTCCAGGTGGTGCTTTGAGGACCATATGCGGTGGTGGGGATTGAATCTGAGTTATCCACATGGAAGACAAGCACCCTGCCTGCTGTCCTACTCTCCAGCCCTAAATTATGTTCATAGTATTTGATTGTTACTTAAAAATTGATTTACTGAAACTTTCACTTTACTACTTGTAAATGAAATAAGAGACATTTTAGTTTTATGACCTTACATGTCTTAAATTTCTATCAGAAAGTCATTTAGTCCCTTCCAATTTTAGAACGATGGAATGTTATATGAACCTCCACAATCAGAAAATATACAAACCCAGAATTCTTGTAGGTGAAGATGTAACCTCAACTAAATCACTTTTGATCTCTTCTCTCCTTAATCAATTTTATTTAATAGACTGACAGTTTGTAGATACCTGGTATTACTATCCAATCATGATTTGGTTATTATATAGTGCTTATAGTGCTTATAATGAAAACCAGTGAGTTTTGAGTTTCTCCATAATTCTGTTTTGAAGAATTACCATTTGTAAAGTTCAGTGAGTTCTGACAGTAGTTTTTGAGAATGCTAACCTAGCTTCAAAACAATGTTGTAAATTGAGACTGTGAAATTCTAACATCAAGTCACCACTCATTGGCAAGTATTAATTGCTTAGGATGTAGAAAGTTTTATCTCTGACAAATGACCGGAGCTGTCAAGAGACGTTACTGCGAATCAAATGAATAAAGTGACTGGTTGTATGTCTTCCTAAATCAATTCACCAAATCAAATTTAAAATAATTTCTGTGTTACAGTAGAGCTAAAGAGCAATTCCCATTTTTCTCTTATTAAAGTTTTCATTCAGGGGACTGAAGAGATAGCACAGCGGGTAGGGCATTTGCCTTGCACGCGGCCGACCTGGGTTCGATTCCCAGCATCCCATATGGTCCCCTGAGCACCACCAGGAGTAACTCCTGAGTGCAGAGCCAAGAGTAACCCCTATGCATCGCTGAGTGTGACCCCCCCAAAAAAGTTTTCATTCAGATGTGAGTCTGACCAGGAGTCAACACAGAGGGCTGGAGCATAAGCTTTGCATACGGGAGCCCTGGGTTTGGTCCCTGGCACTTCCTGGTCATCTCACCACCACCGGGAACCACCCTGTGGTCTGAATGGAAGGGAAAAAAGCTTCCAGATGAGTGAGGGTACATTTAAAGCTTTTCTCAGGGTTTCCATTTC